GCTTCCCAGCTCCCTGCCTGCCCTGAGATCCTGCCAGCACCGGGTGGTGGCTGTGGCTGGCGTTCTTGCTGGAGCCTGGGGCCTCTGCCTCTTCTCACTTGAGTGCCCTGTTTGTTCCCACACTAAGTCACCAGCCTCCTGCCCACTTACTGCTTCAGCTGCTTAAAGAGAAATGTCCCCAGCAGAAGGGGTGTGATTTAACAATGAGTTAGGAGAGATGGTTCTATTGCCTTTAAAAGACACAGCAAAGGCACAGCAGAGGGACAGAAATGAGCCCCCCTCCCCCTTTCCCTTGGTGTTTGACACTCTCTCTGCATCACCCACACAGATAACATAAATGCAGGTATTCTGAGGACAAGGTTCCACGGCGAATGGAAAATTCAAGAAGTTCTATAGAGAGCCAGTCTTTGGGGATTCCGAAGTCCCTTGATGTCAATGCTATTTTCTTGTTAATGGCTGAAGCCAACTCCCAATTCTCTCTCTCTCCCTCTCTCCCTCGCTTTCTCTCTCCACCTCTCTCTTTCCCTCTTTCCCTCCCTCTCTCTTTTTTCTCTCTCTCCATCTCTCCTTCTCTCTCTCTTCCTTTCTCTCTTTCTCTCCCTTTCTCTTTCTTTCTCCCTCCTTCTCTCTCTCTCTCTCTCTCTCTCTCTCTCTCTCTCTCTCTCTCTCTCTCTCTCTCTCTCTTTCTCTCTTCCCTTTTTTGGACACCTTTCTTCTGCACGGGATTCAAGATTTGTACCCTCAGATACCTCTTTCCTCCCTCTAGAACCTCGATCAGCAGTAATTAAAAAAAGGTCTTCCAGCAAGTTGACACTTTTTGAAATGCTAATTGATTCGAATTGGAGTCATCAGGCAGTCTTTCACACCTACTCAGTCCCTGCCTCGGGCTTTTCTGCATATTTGAATCAGTAAGTTGGAATCCAAACCAAGCAAGTGAGAGTTATGCAAATCAATTACTCCCACACCCTCCACTGAGATCCATACCTGTGGGGTCCCAGAAAATCCCTTCCCCACCTGCTCAGGTTGACAGAGTTTTAACTCTTCTGGGGGAGATGCTCAGCCACTGTTGTTGTGATTTTATGTGAACATTTGCATAAACTAGTAGAAAAGCTCGCTCAAGTCCTTTGCTCAGGCAATGGCATGGTTTGAAAAGAAACAGTACTGCCCTCGAAGTGGACCACAGGAAAGAGCTTCTGAATTAGCTACAGAACTGATTTGCATCCACAGAGTAAGAAAGCCACGCCCACTGGACCGTGGTCATTTGCAGTTTGGGAATTGTAGACCTGTATCTAAAACTGCAGTAGTCCATTGGAGCCAACAGTAGCCAGGAGTGTGCCAGGCAAGGTCAAGCTTTTCTGGAGTAGTACCTGGGCCCTTGGGTGTTTCAAGCCAAGCTCCAGAATGGGTTTCAAGCAGTTGTCTTCTGCTTTGGGGGAAATCAGTCACATTTATAAATGGCCCCAGGGCAGCTTCATGGCTCCCACAGAGTGTCTTCACCTTGGGTCTTTACCCTTTTACACAGTTCCTCATGTTGTGGTGACCGCTTCACAACTGTAATATTGTTACCATTATGAATCATAATGTGAACACCTGTGTTTTCCAGTGGTCTTAGGTGACCCCTGTGAAAAGGTTGTTCGACCCCCCAGGGCAACCCACAGGTTGAGATGTCCTAACGCAAGCAGCTGCTTCTCCTAGCCCTTGACTATACCTATAACTTGACTAAAACCTCTGGGGTTTCTTGCCACTAAGCATCCCATTCAGTTATTGTTTTCTTGCAAAGACTTTCCGAGATGGAACTTCAGGCTCCTCTAAGCTCTGTCTCCTGGGCCTCAACTTGACCTTCTCTATGTGTTCTGTCTAGAAGCCAGGCGAAACCCTGCTGAGCTAGAGAATCCCTCACTCTTTGAAACCAGGGAAAATCTTAAATAAGCCTGCTAATGGTGAACTCTATGATCCCTTCCAATGTGCCCACCCACACCCCCAAAGGAAGAGACTGAGGACAAGCTAGGCAGGCTTTCCAGGAAGTGAAAGAACAGCAGAACCATACCCTCCTTCCAGAAAAACCAGTTGGGATGTACGGCGTTCTTTGCAGCTTTAATTGAAGATTAAGATGGAGTCAGGGTGACGGGACGCTCTGAGCACCAAAAAACTGTGCTCTGCTTTCTCCTGATCTTCTGCTAACGCACATTGGCGTGGGAAATGTTGCTGGAGGGGGAGCTGATCTCTGCACTGTGAAAGGTCGAAGTAAACCAAGTTTGCCCATATTTAGTGCTGCTTGTGGACTGTCCCACATGTCAGATCATGGACCCTATAGCTGTGAAGCCCTGCTGGTGGTCTTACAGCTCTAAGTTTGTGTTCCCACCTAGCAATGGCCTCAAATCCATTATCACCTAGGCTGGGCAATACTAGGCTGCGTGGTGTGAAGCTTGTTGTCCCCTCTGCAATTTTATGGCATCCAAAACCCTCTTTGTTCTCCAGGTTCTGGGGTATTCAAAAGCATTCTTTCAGGTCCCTCACCATGCTGTATGCAGTGGCTGTCTCTCTTAGTGAAGGGAAGGCTCTCTCCTCCCTTCAAGGCCCCAGGCTTGTTTTAATTAATTTGGCCATTGTTAGGAAACTGCCCACATTCAAGAACCAGGTTCCTCCTCCCTTCAATGACTCCACAGCAATGTCATGTTATCACTAGAGGCCAATGTGACACACCATCACCAATTCATTATTACTAAAGGCCAATGCGACACGTCATCACTAATGAGATGCATTTCCACCATCCCATACGCACATGCTCCATACCTCTCTATAAAGTTCATACCACCTTATCCCCACTCAGAGGCAGCATCTCGTGTCCCCCCAATAAATCTCTAGCATTGAATGAAAAAAAAAAAAGAGAGACGAAAAGGAAAGGAAACAACAGGACTGCTCCTAGGTATGGCGGAGGAGAAAGTCTATTGTAGATCTGTGGAAGAGCAGAGCCAGAGTCAGAGACATCTAGGAGAGTACAAAGTGGACATGACCAGTCTGAGCTGCGCCATGTCGGGAGAGGGGGAGAGAAAGGGAGAGGGGAGAGAAGGGAACAGAGGTGTAGCAGCCAGGAGGCCATGTTGTGCCCAGATCACAACCCCCAGAGAGAGACCACCGAAGACGAGCATGCCAGAATGTAAAAGCAAGGTTTATTGAAGCAGTTCAAGCCATGCAGCAGGGACCTTGTCAAACCATCCAACACAGTAGAGGCTGGAGGGGTTGCCCCTCTGCAAGCTCAGGTTTTAAAGGCAAAAACCTAAGGTTACATCATTTAGGGGTGCTAGTACAGGTACAATTCTGATTGGCTCGCTTCTAGGGACTTTCTAGAAATCATGGCTTAATCTTACTTCTAAGGGGGTGGTTGCCTGTCACTATTTCTCATTGGCTGCCCTCAGGTGGGGACATTTCTGTGGTCAGTTACCCTGGAAACCAGGGTTGGAACATTCCTTGGTTAAACAGTCATCACCGAATGAATACCTTGTGACTCTGTACTTTGCACTTTCTAATTTCTGGAATCTGGGTTGACTGGTTCCAGTAACTCAAGACCTGTTCCAGTAACTCAAGGCCTATACCTAAAATGGAGAAAGCTTAGGCCTTATTTCTAAGATGGAGGCATTTTGTTCTCATTTTGGTCTCATAGCCAGAGGTACAAAAGGGGCAGGTAACCAAAAATGTCTGGATTATATAGGGAAGAACCTCTGGGGGAAGGGCAGACCAGCCCCTGGGCTGGAGAGTTCAGGGTAGAGGGTGGGGTATGCCAGCCACACTCTGTAACAGGTAGGGTCTGAGGGATGCTGGGAGAACCTGGTGGTCAGGTCCAGCTTTGATATCTTAAATAGGCACTTCAGTTGTCTGTCCAGGGTTTGAAACTTACATGCATGAGGTTTGTTGCATGGTGTGATATTTGCAGAATTCATCAACCCTCCAATTGCCGAAAACTCTTAAGGCCATGATTTGGGCTGATGGTCTTTCTTCTTGCATCTGTGGGATTAACAGGCCAAACTCATGACTTCAGTGACTGGCGTACAGACAGTGGGTGAAGCATGCCTCATTTGGGGATGCCTTGCTATTTGGTCAACTTCCTCATCTTTGGCCTTGGTTATTTAACTTTTGGACTGGTGTTTAGTTAGAATCTACTTAGTAATTTTCTACAACCCTCTTAACCTGTCCCATGGCTATGCAGAGGAGGAAAAATAATTTTTCTCTATTCTCTCTCTCTCTCTCTCTCTCTCTCTCACACACACACACACACACACACACAAACACACACACACACACACTTCTTAGGTGAGGCCCCCATGAACAGGACAGATTACCAAAAGATAAAGGTTTAATACACTGTAAACCTCATGTAGACATTGGACATACCCAGAGATAGGAGTATGTTTCCAAGAAGTGGCTTTAATAACACCATCTGGTTAAATATCATCATTTGCAGGAAACAAAGAAAGAAAGAAAGGTTATGGAAATTGAGCAGAAACAGCTCATGAACAAGGTTAAGGTTTGTCATGCAGATTTAAGTGGGTGCTGTCTCCATCTAGAAACTTAATCATCTTTATTCTGGGTACAGGGAGGAAGCCGCCCTTACAAATGGAGATTTCCTTTACAGATGTAAATTTCCCTCACAAAGGAGGAACTCCCACTCTGTTTTCAGAGCTTTTCCTAGGTCTGCAGTTTCTCAAAATAATCAGCTCAAAATGATGCTTATGCCAAAAGGCACATCTCTGGTGGCAGATTCTGGCCTCCAGCTTTAACTCCCTGCTGTCTTTGTTGTAGTCAAAGTTGAGTCTGACCCTCCCAACCCTCTCTCTCTGTGAAATATCTTTATTGTAACCATCTTGAATTAAGCTTCCTTACCATCTAACAAGAACAAGGACTTTTTTTTTAAAAAAAATCACTTCCACAGGGTACCACTCTGTCTACCAGGACCTGGTGTTGCTTGAGAACTTGCACTTACACAGGGCGGGGGGGGGGGGGGGGGACGACAGTGGGGACATGGGTTGGTTGTTTTTTTGCCTTGGCCACCACAATTTCCCCTTTATCCTTTCGAACTGGCAGTATGTTCTGGCTTCCTCAAAGGTGCATATGGATGAGATGCTGGTCCCAGTCATTGACTGAACATTGGCTGGTCTAAGTTCTTTGGGCCCGATACATACACTGCACCAGAAATAAGTATTTTTCTGATGAGGTTTCCACAGTGGTTGTAAGGATTCTGTCCTTAATTACATCATCAGTCTGCGACCTCGTCCCAGCCTAAAAAGCAGGTGGGCCTTCTGTGCATCCCTCTTTTTCCTTTCTGCTCCTTCCTTCCATCTCTTCTCTCTCTCTCTCTCTCTCTCTCTCTCTCTCTCTCTCTCTCTCTCTCTCTCTCGTTCTCTCCTCCCAATAAAGCTCTAAAAAGGAAACCATGGCCTGTGATTCCTCCAATCAGCACTCTCCTCCACCAGCATGGCTGCTGCAGGCGATGGCCAGCCATGAGCAGCTCGCCGTTTAACCAACATTGGTGCCGTGACTAGGACACACCACCGAATACCGAGGACCTGCTGTGACTGCTGCCGCATGCCGCCTCCTCCCCCATCCAACGAGACCGCGAGACCACGAGCGTGCACACATCCCTCACTGCCTCCACTGGACCCCCACACAGCTGCCGTCACCACAGTGAGTCTGCCGTTCTCACGGCTGTAGTCTGAGCTATATTCTTTGCGACGGACACCCCGGGGGTTGTCCTCGGGCTGTACTGGCAACGGCAGGCACATTTTCGCTCCTGACGAGGAAGTAAATGGTGTCTAGGGTTCAATGGTGGACCAACTGCAGTACAGTCGCAGCCCTCACGATCCCTTGATGAAGAGGACTCGTGACTTGAGCTGATTTATAGATCTCTCTCCACTCTTGGGGATGCCCGAGATTGTAGTCTGATCCCAGTTTGTTATTTTAATTTTTTATTTTTCTCTTGGCTACAGCCATGAGACAAAGGAGCGGATACATTTACCACCTACATTGGTGGATAGGGGTGGGCACAGCCTAAACCTGGCCACATAACAGCGTCGCAGGAACTTCTGCCAGTAAATGGGCAAATAAGAGTTACTTTATCCCCAAGCTTTCTACTAAAGTTCTAACTAAACCCTTCTCCTTCCCCACTTCTGTGTCTGCCACGTGCAAACTTTTCTGTCTGACTTCTGCTGGCAGTGGGCAGGCTCAAATGGGCCGACTTGGGTAGTTTCTATAACTCACCCTCACTCACCCACTCATTCTCAAACTGTCTGTGTTTCTCACGTGCATACAGACAGGGCCCTGATCTTTGCCTTGTCCCTAATTCCAAAAAAAAATAAATTCTCATGCACCACAAGCTTTTCTCTTCCCAGTTCCCTGTTCTCACTGTTCAGCCAATGATACAGGACCACCACAGAACCGGAGTCCAGAGATCATCAACATCTTGTCAAACAGAAAGTTCCCAGCCACAACCAAGAGGGATACATGTCTCCAGAGCAAACGGATGACAGACAGCATCCCACAATGCCTGTCTACCTCGGAAGACTCCCCCAAGAGCCAACCGACATCCAATTGTCAGCTGGAAGCAGTTTTTGAGAGGAACGACACCCCTATTCCCATCTACCTGCTTTTTATAATAAGTGAAAGTCTGGGATGTAAGGGTTCTGTCCTTAATTACATCATCAGCCTGGGATGGCGTCCCAGCCTAAAAAGCGGGTGGGCCCACTGTGTGTCCCTCTCTTTCCTTTCTGCTCCTTCCTTCTGTCTGGACCTCCTTCTTCTCTTCTCTCTCTCTCTCTCTCTCTCTCTCTCTCTCTCTCTCTCTCTCTCTCTCTCTCTTTCCCTCTCCCTTTCCCTCTCCCTCTCTCTCTCCCTCTCTCTCTCCCTCCCTCTCTTCCTCTCTCCCTCTCTCCCAATAAAGCTCTAGAAAGGTAACTATGACTCGTGACTCTTCCGCCACCGATACATCCAGCACTCTTCTCCGTCGGCATGGCCACTGCAGGTGGCGGCCAGTCATGAGCACCACCGTTTAACCAACACTGGTAGTGTGTTCCGTTGGGCTTAGCCCGACTACCTGAATGGGGACTCTTTTCTGCAGTTGGCCAAAATGAACCTAAAATGCAGAGTCTGAGAGGAATTGGTCTCAAAGATATGTTGGATATTCCAGCCAAACGTTGGCTCTTCCAAAGCTAGGGTGACCCTTTGGCCTGAGTTAGTCTGGTCTGAGGCACTTGTCCTAGCAGCTAAGAGTCATGCACACACGGCCTATGTTCAGTTGGGAACTCCACCTCGGTCCCACTCCTCCCCCATTCCATACCCCAGCCCTCTTAGAAAGCCCTCTTAGAAAGCAGCAGCTCTTCCCCCCCCCACCCCACCCCCCGTTCAAGACCCACCTACAGGGTATTTAAATTGCCTTCTAGAGAGCAGCCATGTGATTTTTTTTTTCTGGTCTCCTCTCCCAGTCTTGTCTCTGGGGGCTGGAAAGGTCACCAGGGAACATTTTGTGCAATAAACCTGGTCTTTTATTTTTAATTCGGCTTGATTTGGCTTCGTTGGTGGAGAGACTTAATACCGGGGTGTGGAAATCTCTCATCTTGGTGCGTTCGCTGGGAGGAGCTGAGTTTTCCCTGTCAGCCCTGGCCACGTGGGAAACCATTCTTCTCCCTGCCCCCACTCTTCCCCAGGCTGGATTGGCTTTTGGCTTGGTAAGTTGCCATTCCAAGTCATTGCCTCTAGAGATACGGGACCTCCCCCTGAGCCTACTTTCAAGGTACCCTGCCAGGACGTGGCCATGCCAAGATCCTGACCTGTTTCCAAACAAAGATCATCTTTGCTCCATGGGACCTTTTGTACAGAAGATGTTTTGCACGAAGGCACATCCCATTCCCACCCTTGACCCAAGCCTATCACAGCGGACGTCTTGCTTTAGACTTCAGGTTCTGGCACAGGCTTTTAAAATGGGCAGCTATGGGTCTAAGCTGGACCCCAAACACCCTTGGGGTGTCTTTTACAAAATATATCCAAATTGGGGCTTTCTGATGCCATTTGTCCAGAATGCCTGACTTCCTTGTGCTCTAAGGCCTGGCCACAATACACTCTTGATAACCAATCAAGATGGCCAGCAGAGGGAACTTTTGAATTTACCATGCTCTGTGATCTTGAAAATGTTTGCCAACGTGGAGGCAAATGGTCTCCACTGCCCTGTGTCCATGGTTTCTGATTCCGTGCTCCTACCTTCCTTCTGTAGCCAATGTTGACATCCAGGTCTTGTTGGCTAGGGTCGTGGTGCCTCCAGATTCCAGTTTATCTGGGAACTGGGACCCTGAACATTCTGCCCTGACTGTGCCGCTGGAGACACTGGCCCCTCGACCACTCCCCTAAACCCTGCCTACTCACCCCCCTCCTACACTGCCACGTGCTCCATTCAGTGGCCAACCTTCTTCCTTTATCCACCCCTGCCCCCTTCGTTCCCACTCTGGGACAAAGTTTGAGGGATAATTTCCTCCCCCTTACCCACCTTCCTCTCTCCTCCTCCCTTCCCCTGCCCCTCCTCCTTCCATATCCCCTCCCTATCCTTCAATGTCACAACCTACACCCTGGTCCCCATTTACCGGCCTACCCCATATACCAGCCTACCCCCTCCCCGAATCCTCTCTGGTCCGCGGATTCCTGCCCTCCTCTGCCCCCTCTGAGAGGTGGCCAGAAATGAGGGAATTGTTTGAGTCCACACCCCCTTCTCCCTTCAGGACCTCTCACAGATAGAAAAGTGGTTGGGTTCCTTCTCTGCTAATCCTTCTGTTTCTGTCAAGCAGTTTCATTATCTTTCTCAAGCCTGACCTGGCATGACCTCTGTGTCATCCAGGTCTCCACCCTTGCTCCTGAGGAGTGAGGTTGATTGAGTTCAGGCAGCAGGGAGACAATGCAGACCAAACACACCTAGTGGACAATGCAATCCCTGTGGGTGATGTGGCAGTGCCAGCTACAGAGCCCCACTGGGACTACCAGCCAAGTCAAAATGGTCACCAGAGGAGGGACCTCATGGTCCACTGCCTCCTTCAGGGTATGGAAGTGGTCTCAGACAAAGTTGTTAATTTTGATAAGCTCAGAGAGATTATGCAATGAGCTGATGAAAATCCGGTCATTTTTCTAAATTATTACAAGAGACCATTGTTCAATAGACTCACCTTGACCCAGCCTCCCCAGTGGGAGCCAGGGTCCTGGCCACCCATTTCATTTCTTAGTCATCACCAGTGTTGGTTTTAAATAATAAGCGGCACTGTTACCATTCGAGGAAGGTCACGAGGCATGACAAAACCCAGTATCAGAGCTTTATTAGGAGGAGTGGGGGACAGAAGAGAGTGACCAGGCCTGTGAAAGACACGTGCAGAGGAGAGAGAGAGAGAGAGAGAGAGAGAGAGAGAGAGAGAGAGAGAGAGCGAGAGAGAGAGAGAGAGCAGAAGAGAGGGGAGGAGTCTGTGTCCAGCTTTTTGAGGATTTCCAGGCACATGCACATGTGGGCTTATGGAGCTACACCATGCATGTGCAGACTGCGTGACCACGCTGTGCACATTGCGTAATCACGCAGTTCTCGGATGACGTAAGACCCCCTTGCTTAGCTATTGAACTATGCATGTGCAGTCATGCAGCTTGAGGAGAGAAAGAATCCTAACAACCAGATATTTAAAAATTTTAAAGGTTGAAGAGGGTTCCAAACCCCCATACAGGAATTAGTAAAATGGCTTTTAAGGTTTTTAACACCCGAGAGGAGGCAGTGGAGTCTTCCCAGCAGGTCCAGCTGCAACAGAAGGCTGTGCTCCACGCCCACACTTCGGCAGCTGCCCTGAGGTCACCAGCGCCCCCACCAGGAGGACAAGGGAAGTCCACGAGGCTCCATCCTGCTGGAGCTCAGTCCGAGTCAACTCTGCCAGGGACCTGCTTCAAATGCAGCCAGGAAGGCCATTGGCCTGGTGCTGCCCCAACACTCAGCCGTTGCCAAGGCTATGCCCCATCTGCCAGCAGCCTGGCCACTGGAAATCAGAATGCCCCCATGTGGGTTTGTCCTGTATGCCATGCCACAGAGGTCCAGCCTCACCGATAACATTCCTGCTACAACTTCCCACTTTACCGTCCTGGACCTAAAAGACACCCTTTTTACTGTCCCTCTACACCCTGACTCATACTTCCTCTTTGCCTTCACCTGGGAGGTCCCTGACACCGGGTCCTCCAGACAGCTTACATGGACTGTTCTCCCCTGGGGTTTTCAGGACAGCCCTCATTTCTTAGGACCAACTCTGGCTGGGTATCTTTCCACCCTTGACCATGGTCCTATCATAGTCCTCCAGTACATAGACAACCTCCTTCTCTGCATCTTCCCTCCCCTACTCCCGCCTCTGTCCCAACAGGCCATCTCTTCACTCCTGAACTACCTCGGCTCCCTGGGATACCGTGTTTCCCCACCTAAGGCTCAGCTATGCTCTCCCACTGTGGTGTATTTGGGTGTTCAACTCAGCCCAGGGCCTAAGACCCTCACCTCTGACAGAGTCCAAGCCCTGAGGAATTGCAGCCCCTGATCACTGTGGTTCAGATTCTTTCACTTTTGGGCCTGTGGGATTCTTCCATCACTGGATCCCTATCTTTGCCATCACAGCCAACCCTGTACCAGGCAGCCAAAGAAACCCCCACAGGGCACCTCACCCACCCGCCACCATCTGCTGCCATTTCTCTTTACTGCAGGATGCCTTCCTAATGGCCCCCACCCTAGCTCTTCCAGACCCCACCTGACCTTATCACCTCCATACAGATGAAAAGTTGAGAGTGGCCAATGGGGTTCTAGTCCAGCCGGTTGGGCCTTCAAATCAGGCTGTTGCTTTTCTGTCCAAACAAATCCCACTGTGTGTGGATAGCAGCCATGCTTGAGAGCCCTAGCAGCAGTGGCCAAACTCACCCGGGAGGCCCTCAAGATCACTGTTCCAGCCAATCACTGTACACTCCACCCACCATCTCTCATACCTTCTGAGTCATTCTCTCTCCCTCCTTGGGCCCTCACAAGTCCAAGTCTTTTATTTACTGTTTCTAGAAAACCCCCAAATTGCCTTGGCCTCCAGTCCTGTCCTAAACCCTGCAACCCTCCTACCTGTCCCTTCATCCTCTGGTACCCCTTCTCACTCTTACCCAGAGGCTGTGGAGGCCTTATGCTTGCCCTGACCTGGTCTCCTAGACCAACTGCTCACAGATCCCCAACTCACCCTGTTTGTTGACAGAAGTTCTCTCTCTCTCTCTCTCTCTCTCTCTCTCTCTCTCTCTCTCTCTCTTACTTTGAGACAAGGTTTCTCTGTTTAATAGCCCTGGCTGTCCTAGAACTTGCTCTGTAGACTAGGCTGGCCTTGAACTCACAGAGATCCACCTGCCTATGCCTCCCAAGGGCTGAGATTGAAGGCATGCACCACCATACCCAGCAGAAGCTCTCTTATAGACAGATCAGGAAACCACCAGGCAATTTATGTAGTGGTCACTTCCACTAAAACAGTTGAAGGGACCACCTGCTAATAGGGACTTCTTCACAAAAGGCTGAATTAATCGCCTTGACTAGAGCACTCCAAATAACTAAGGGTCAATGGGCTAGCATTCATACTGACTCTAAATATGCCTTTTTAATAGCCCACACCCATTCTGTCCTTTGGAGAGAAAGGGGCTTCCTCACTACCAGAGCACTCCCATAGTTAATGGACCCCTTATAGCAAAGCTCTTGGAGCCCTCCAGCTCCCTGCAGAAGTAGCCATAATTCACTGCCAGGGGCATCAGCCCTCCAAGGACCCAGTGGCCTTAGGCAATGCCAAGGCTGACTCAGTAGCCTGAGGATTGGTTTCCAGATCCTCTGGATCAACAGTACATATTTGTTTTTGACACCATTCTATCAGCCCTTCTCCCAACCAGAG